AAGACAAGATGCTGGCTTCCGATGCGACCCGCGAGTTGATGCGCAAGCGTAACCAGATGATGTCCGATTTCGTGGCCTGGCGGGAGAAACTTCTCAACCGCTACAGGGCTGATAAACCCAAACGCGACGCTCTACGTGGTGAGTTGTTTCTTGGTGGTTTTTACTTATAGAGGTTCCCTTTGCAGTGCTGGTCATGTTGAGTGTCGGTCGTCTTGATTCCGGCTTACCGTATGCGGTAGATTCGGTGCAAGCTAGCTTCACTACCTCGCCGCTGCTAAGCGCACTCTTTGAGGGACGCGACGGAGGGTAGTTGAAGGGGTTTGGGCGTCCTGACGCAACGCACAACCGCTTGCCGAGCCGAAATCTCTGTAGGTAGGCAATAACGCTGGCTGAGAAAAAGAAGACCACTCGATCGCTGGAACAACACTATTATTCGCGAGACGTTTCGAGATCACTCACGCATTCATCATCAGAGAAATAAGCAGAAAGTAGTAGCAGACACGCTAGGTGTTACTTTGAACGGCTATCCTTTTAGTATGGCTGATACCTTAACGTAGCGATTAACCTTACAACTGCTTGACACAGCTGTGGGGGGTCCCCCAGCTGGAGATCCTAGGCGGTGCAGTCGGCCTATTTAGCTGTTTTTTTTTCTCTATTTCGGTCCGTTCGTTGCACATTAAACGTACAGTATCTCATTAAATACTAACCGAGACTCTTAAGTGTTTTTTTCGTCTAAGAAAGATTGCTTAAGCAGGGTTATAATAGTAACTGTCACACAGCATAATGCCAAGATATTCCAGTCACAGTGGGATACCGGCTTTGAGATTTTTTCCGACCGCCCGTGAAAATTACGCCTTCAAAATGACTACTTAAGTAGCTTGTTTTTCCCTTTTGCTTTTCGATTCTCTCACATTTCCTCCATAGAGAATGTATATAAAAATGATCTTTCTTATGCTCATTTGATAAGAATTTACATCTTCTTCAAACTCTATATCCAAAAGAAGGGAATATTTAGATTTTAAAAGTTTCTAATTATGAGATTTTTTCTAAAATAGCATCTTATTCGTACGTTCGCCCGCGCCCTCATCCTCTGCAAATCTTTACGAGCCCTATATCGTAGCTTCGTAAGGATACAGAGTAATGCATGATTTTTTGCCCAGAAGGTTGCAGACTGAAATCCTGAAACGCAACGGCCGATTGGTCGAGAACTCCACAACTGCATATACCCTTCTCCTGAATATAAGATCCTAAGACGTCATGTGCAATAAATGAATACAAAAAGCGTACTTCTCTCACATATTCCATTAAATGTTGTTCGATTTATAAGGACACTGGAAATAATTAAGTAAAAATCGTACCACTTTAATACATATTTTAGGTGCCTGAAAATGAGCTGGCTCAAAAGCCACCATCCTGACGTGACTGAAGTATCTTTGGATTATGCTGTCCGATAATAATAATAACAATAATATGAAAAGCCCACCTAAGTTATCTTTTCTAGATTCGAATTTGTGTAGACTTCTAATGAGATAGCATATCAACCGTATTCCCGGAGGCGCTTTTGAGTGTACCCATGAAATCTGCACAACCACTTAGTCGCTGTAGTCAGCCGCCCTAAATAGACCTGTCACACTCAAAGCTTCCAAAGTCAGTCTGGTAGCGAGGAAAAAGTTGTGGTCATGGCTTCCCGCATGTACGACTTTGTATAGTGTCCAGTTTTATTGTTCTTTATATGCAGCCATCCTAACTGATGACACTTCTTTTCGTTATAGGCTTCGACACCAACAAACAGGAGGTAGATATGGATACGGAGGAATTGGAATTCCTGGTGAGCACCTCCCGTGAACCTTATCGGCCGAAGGGTTAATCCTTTGCACAATCTACACTACCCAGGGTTATTTTCACGCCACTGAAGTCTCTGGGTCCCCCCAATACTTGACACCCTCCCAGCTTGTTGGCTTGCATTATATCCTGCTTTTCTATGGAGATTGTAATTTCATCCCAATGAATACGGTCGACCGGACTCTCCGGCTTTTGCACGTCTGTTTTTTATCCCCACCCTCAGTCACCTGTAACGGGAAAAATTTCTCCGGGATCTCTACAGTTCGGGTGTTTTCCTGATCGGAGTATGAGCGTGTGGCGCGCTTCGTCTGTGGTGCTCAGGGATTGGGCACTTACTTATTGACTATGACTGGCTGATGGCGGCTAAACTGCGATTATCGTCTTCTCGTTGATGAACGTTCACCGACTGCTAACAGAATTCGCTAGTCCCGCTCTGCCTTGGGGCTCACTATCGAGCCCAGCCAGCTATCGCACACTGCCGACAAACATAGGGGAGACTGGAAATGGATCCCAAGGCACACGGGCAAGTGGCTTCCGTTAGCGGTCGGTGAACGTTTGTCAACCAGGAGACTAAAGTGGCCATTTCTGACTCACTAGCCGTCATAGCCAACCCCAAGTGGCACTAAATAATAACCGTAGAACAACTGAGAAGTAGGTTTGATCGTTGGGACAACTGATGAATGTCAGCCAATTTTTCAAAAAAATTTATACGGTGACGTGAATGGAGGGGCCGGTTGCTAACGCGTTGCAGAGACGGAAAAACCGAATAGCATGAATGGAAGCAAGACAGAATAGCATTCAGGAAAGGGGCTGCGTCGAACGATTCCTCCTGCAGCATTTTTTTTCAGGCGACCCATGAAGAGACTAAATGGGTCAAAAGAAGACGCTGACCTCACAAGTGACTTTATCTACAAGTGGCAAGGGAGAAAGCTTAAACTGAAGGGACTTTTGATCGGTAAAGCGTTCGCATGTGTAAAAGTGCTTCGGAGAGATTCATGCGGATGGGGGAGGCGTTTCGAGACCGTAAGTCTGCGTCATGTAGGATGAAGCTTCTCAGTGTCTCCCAACCGGATGAACCCTTCAGGCGGGGTAACTTCGAGAAGGTGAACCTGATTGGCGATGGTGCATCCGTTTGTCGAAATAGATTAGTATAGAGTGCCTTTGCGAGCACGGGTGCTACCGTCTCAGGTGTTACGTGGCTGTTCGTGGCCGACTCAATCGAGGCCATCTTGCAGCCGACTAGTCCACAGGGCGTGATCTGATCAAACCATCTGAGAGGTTCGTTGGTGCAGTTCAGACCGACTCCGTGATAGGTCACCTCCCCTGATCGGTGAATGCCTGAAAAAAAGGTTTTTCGGAAATAAGCGACAGTTCGCGTAGAAATTAATTACTGTTACGCATGCATTACTTTGATTAAACTACCTATGGACATGATCTTATGCTGACGATCGAGCCATACCCCGGTAGCTCCTGTGTTCTCCGGAAAGAGGACGCTACCCTTGGAGGCAGTGGAGATAGAGAAGTTCTTGCGACAGACTTCATGGCCTGCTTGTTCGAGGGCACCAACGTACCATCTGAGGCCGTTTCCAGCTAGGTGACGACTTCTTAGGTGGATAATAGGGTATGCAGTTAGTTGTCCGGGGCCGTGATATGTGATGAGACCACCGCGGTCTGTCCTTTAGAAGAAAAAAGGCACATCGTGCGCTGTCCATCATTTGAGGTAAACTATTATTGCACTACTCACACTAGCATAGTATTCAGCTTTAATTACTCTTGGCTAGCCCATAGCTGCCCACTTTTTGTCTACAAGCATATAACTGACGTATTTTTCTTTTTGCAACTAAAGTCGGAGAAGTAGAAAGTCAAAATATCTTTTAACTCCTTTTAAATAGATATTAAATGAATTGTTGGTTCCCTGCGTCATGAGTAGTTCACTATTTAAGGGCTCGCAACGGCTAATGGTGATCCTCCGAGGAAAGCGACCACGACCTCCTTTCTCGTGTCCAAAATCTGTCCCTTATTAAAGCCAATCATCGGTCAGAACTTGCAACTAAGCGCCAGGTTTTAGACATTTTTCAGCATAAATTATATGCGGGCGCTAAGGAGGTACTTCCCGGAAGATAAGCCGAACACGAACAATTAAAATTGACAACTCTGGTGGCAGTGGCGGTGCTGGCGATTTGTAACATTAAATAGACTTATGTCTGCCAATTGGAAGAAGTAGACAATTTAAATATCTCGAGCCGAAGTTGCTGCCCAATGGACACAGTAAGATGTACAGATGCAAGATCGGTATTACTCATCGAGTTTTCTTGGGCCATAGAAAGTGTCAATAGAGCCGACGCGACACCTATTTGGTCATAGAGACTCGTGTGTATCATACATCTGTTTGATGTGTCCTCTATGGCTGTTGATGCTGAATTATGTGTGTAGAAGACGAGCGAAATCTGGAGGCATTTGACCATCAATTCTTAAGGAGACAGTAGGCACTCGTCGAGACGGCATTGAAAGGATGGCTCAGGCCATCCAAGATAGATGAATAAGGTGGTTTAAACATGTTATTCACCGTCAATCTCACGAACTCAGTGTAACTGCCTTTTACCCGGCACCGTTACCCAATTGGAGGCGCCGAAGAGGGAATCAGCTCAAAATCTTGCTCGACGCAGTTCTTCAAGACACAGAAATGGTTATTCAGCCTCCGTCGTCAGCGAGAAGAACGGACTGGACCGTTCAGGTTGGCCGCCGTGGATCATCACGCGCGGATAGGTACAATCCGGAACATCATCGAGGCCGGCTACTTCATGCAGGGTCATAGAAGTAATAAGTGCAAGTAAAAATAACGAATTACAATAGTCCATCCCACAAGCAAGCCACCCCGTGCTAACTGCTCTCTACTCAGTCGCGGTTGGACAGAATTTCTAAAAAAACGTGCTGGACCTCATCCAATACGATGGTCGGATTGTCGAAAAGCTGCGAACTACAGTTAGACTTCCCGTGTTGACGGCGCTTTAACGAATAAATTCCTGTTCACAAAAGCGCTTCATGTTATCGTTCCTGAACATCAATATTGCCGCCTTCCGAAATTTAAGAAAAACTTCACAAGTTTCATGATTCTGAACTGCTCATATGACAGATATTTCAGGTAAACGCCACTAATTTAAGGGCGTATTTTTAAGCCCTGATACAGATCTGGAATTTTGTGGGGTAGCGTTGACGTTCTAGTCAGTAACAAAAGTGGGAACATCTTATGGCAGTAGGAAGGCCTATCTAACTCCTACCAAAAAAGAGAACTAGTACTTCACATCATCAAGAAAAAAACATATAACCCAGCTTAGTCCTTCACGAAGTGATGGTGCACTGAGCCGAGAACGACTGTAAAGTTAAACAAGATTGGTAAAAAACGCAAGATTAGGGCTAGTAGTGCATTCGAGAAGTATTAGTAACAAGGGTAAAATACCTTTTGTGGTTCATCAAACAGGCGTAATGAAACCCGAGCCCGAAGGTCCGGACCTAGTTAATCATCGAACTCATGTTCCACCACTGAACAACAGGTCCAAGCCATGTAGGCTGCGATTGAGAAGCCCAAGTTAAATGCCGATAGTGTTAACCTAAATATCATGGTGATAGAACGGATAAACCCATCTCACGAAGAAAAGGGATCAGGATATGACTGCATTTGGGTTGAACCAGGATGCACTGCCACATATAGACGTGCTAAACTAGATCAAGTAGCTAGAGACTAACAGACCACAATCCTATCTTCATAGGCATAGGCCTGGCTAATAGAAAGACGAAGTAAAAGAGGAGGTTGCAGGAGTATTCTGCCTACAGATTTGGCATATATGATTTTTAATATTTGATCTCCGGATTTTCCTATCGCAGTTTGATGTTCCGACGAACAAACAAATAAACTAAACCAGATTTTGCGCATAAATAAGGTAAATCAGTAGCAGTTTTTAGCCTTTGCTGTTTTTTTCTTCAGAAAATTGGCAACGGTGAGAATAAAAGTTAGGTAGGAGACGGACCGATAATCAGGAATATTTAAACATTGTTTAGAACTTTTTCAATCACACAGTAGTTTATCTTCAACCAACCAAAGATCAGGGCTGCGTGCGTGAATAGTACCATGCACGGTTCTGTGCGCGAATAAGCGGTTGGCCAGGGACCCGTAAAACGTCTGAGCTACAATTCTGGTCAAATAAAATGGTCAGGAACTTTGTTCCTGTCCCCCACCGTAGAATTATAAGCATATGCTTTTGGTGTTTTGTCCGCCACCTTTTTCACTTAAGAAAGTACTAGATACTCAAATACTTGCCTCAACTTGTGAAAACGTACTTTATGAAATGTGCGCCACTGTTTTTCAGGTGTTCTGTTTGCTGCGAATCGTACATATTGTGCCTGATTCCAACTGTGTAAACAGGCTCGTGTTGAACTAACAAAATAGTGTGTGACGGAGACAAGTTGTGGGGCCGTTTATTGACTTGAACTAGAGACTTTTGCAGTTCAAGTACGGGTAAATAATTGACAGAACCAAGAAACCAGGCGCGAACTAGAAGCGCCATTAGCGGCTATTAAATGTGCCACAATAGGCAGATATGATTCACTAGTTATCCCAACGCAAGGAAAGACGCGGTCGTTTTATTTGTCCCTAACGCGAATTGGTAATCAAAGCCTACGTACCAACATTCTAAATTACAGCCAGTCACACTAACTTATGTAAAGCAAGAACAACAGATGACCTATCACGGTACCTTAAAGGACACCACTCAAAATTGCGGTAGTAGTAGAATATGAGGATCCCACGAAGATATTTTGTTTCCGATTAGATAGATATGATCTGATAAAGTGAGTAAGAGGAATACGAAATCATAGAGAGTCGATTTTGGCTAGAAGCCGCTTATGAGATACTTTATCGAATGCTTTACTAAGATTAAAATAGATAACTACCAAGGATAAATGATCATAACGAAAAGAAGTAGGTAGGTTGTGAAAAGACGTATGGCATGTTTCACAAGATCGGTCCGGTAAAAAGCCATGCGGTGAGGAGCCGAGAACGTTATTGATTATGCAAAAATCTATATTTTTGGCTATTAGTTTTTCAATTTCAATTTTCAATATATTTAAGAAAAGAGGCCCAAGGCCCGGAGGAGTCTCTTCAAAGATAGTTCAAGACAGAAAAATATACTCAAACAGGACGGCGATCCTCGAAAGGAAGTAGGAACCGCTGACTGGTTG